TATATATTTCAGGAAATAGATTTACTAGCATTCTTGCTGTTAGTCAGATCAGATCTAACACTTTTCTGTTTGTGGAATATAACTATATCTGGGCCCAATGATTTCCTGGAGTTTCCACTGGTTTCCTGCCACCTGCAGACTGATGATGAGAGTTTGTTAAACAAATCAGATACAGAGTGAGAAATCTTTAAAGGTAGGCAGATATTATTTTTTACCTTTTGACAGAGTCAGTCTTCCTGTTTCCTTACTTCCATTGTTTTTGTGAGGCTAAATGTGTTGACTGCAGCATCATAATTAAGACAAAAATGCTTGGTTTAAAAAAAAAAAGCAAATGAGCATTCTTCCCAAACGACATCTTCCTTTAAAAGAATAAATACAGCAGGATTTTTATAACAATCAGCTGTGTGTGGATTTGATTTCAAAAACTGTACCTATAGCATTATGATGGATACTGTTATCCTTAATCAGAAAACATGGGGGAAACATGATGTTGTTAAAGTGCTAGAAATACCAATAAAACACTGGCTTGTTTTAACCATAAATATGGTCCTTCCCTAATATTTCAGTGTAGCAGTCTGACTTAGTATGTCGATTTCCCCATTGAGAACAGCTGTGCCGCACCGTATCTAAAGTATTTCATCCTGGCGCACTGTCCCTACCAAGGTCAAAGTGAAACATAGGGTTACTCAGCTTGGCAGCAGTGCCAGGCTAATGGCAGAGGCAGAAAACATAACTGTGTACCTAAAGGTTGCCAGAGTACCTTGACACTCCAAAATACTACTTGGAAAATGTTTTCTGAACTGTTGAAATTAAGGTAGAATTGTTTAGGAAGAACATGGAGCTCTACATATGGCATAACAATATTCTGCATACCAACAGGAAAACACCACAAAGATGTCAGCTGGTCATTTTCAAATCTTTTGGGAGTGTTCGAAAATTGCTGCTTACTGGGTGAACGAGATAAGGGCAATAATTAACCTGGACTGATTTTGATTTTAAGGTTATTTACTTGGGGAATGTGCTTTAAAATGTGACAGATATTAATATCAGTGAGTAAAAAAGCAATAACAAGGAAGTGGCTGAGGCAGGAACCACCAACAGTCCCTGGGCCTATATAAAGATTGTATGTGTGGCATCGCTGGTTTAAGTCTAGCCGTGGATCTTTGTCATGGGTCTTCGCCTTCAATCTCTTTTGCCACATGTTCCTGTCCATCTACACTGTGCCATCAGTGAAATGTTGAAAGCCCTTCAATTCATCATGCCAAATATTTTAGCAACTTGTTCACAGAATAATGATCACTTTCATAATTTCTGTAAAGAAGCTGGTCATTACGTGAGAGGGAACCAATTCTTGTTTACATGGGGTTGCAAATGCCTAGAAAATCCTAATACTTTGAACAGGTTGAAAATACCAAGAAAAAAACTATTTACTATACAAACTATGTTTCCCCAGTGGCCTCTGTCTTACAGGAATTACTATGAAAGTCACCATCATTATTGGCCTGTGGCATTATTTCTAAAATAACTACAGTGCCCATATTTATTAAGATAAACAACCATATCATCATGAAATTATTCTAGTCATAATACCAAGTAGTAGGCAGAGGGTGTCATTCCTGTGATTTTTAAACCTTCCTCAACCCTTTGGCACAGACCAAGTTACTGTAATTTTCTGCACAAGCATTTCCTGAAATTGTTATATGCATGTGACATTTCACTTTATTAGAATGTGGGAGATTTACTTTAAAATTTGGTCACGTCGCTAGTTACAAAATAAACCAGAACTAGTGTTCACTCAGTTCTGTAGCAAAAGATGCCTTTGCTGCCCTACTCCAAATATTTAGAATTCAGCCCTGGAAAGACTCAACAGCAATTCTTACCTTCATAGAATCAGACCAATTGCCATGAAATTTACCAGTACCTTCCAATCAGACCAATTGTCATGAAATTTACCAATACCTTCTTCTGATACAGGAAAAAATTAAAAATGAACCTTCTTCCCACAGTAATGTTTTAAATTTTGATTCAGCAATTGGATGGAGAATTTCTTCTGTGGAGCAGTAGCTTTGAATGTGGATTGGTGGAAACGGGTGAGAACGGTTAATGCAATGGTGAAGTTAGGACAGTGGTGACGTCAAACACTCCCATCCATTCACCTGGCAAATGTCTTTTCAACTCAGGACAAAGCACAGCTACCTTGTGCTTCACCAAAACCAAACATCTCTATAAGAGAAGAGGAAAGGTTGACATGCAGATGTCCACATTGAGTATTCCAGATTTGGACTATCATTGTTTACTGCAAACTTTACTCTGCACAAGCTTAATACTGTCAGTGTTTACCTTCTTGCTGCGAGATGACACCATGAACCACTGGACCACTGTACTGCACAATTAAAACATAAACCATAAAAACATGCCAAATGTGAAACAATAATGATATCACAAAGATGAAAAGTGTCATGTGTTATACAATGTTTACCCTGCCAAGCACATAATGTTCCTGCCACGCCTGCAAATGGATATGCAGGTAATGATGAATGGATGGACACCTGACTTATTCAGTTCTAATAAAATGCTGAGGTTTTCCAAGTATTTTATTATGTTAAACACTAGCAAAAATATTTTAATATTTCTCATGGTTAAAAATTTCTCTTTACAAAACAGATTGCAGTATCAATAGGGTCTTGACCACATTTTGAGTTTTCTGCATTAATTTTTCCTGCTTAAACTTGCTTATCTGAAGCATTCATTATCTTTTCCCATTTCAGTGCACGCTTCTCTGTTTTACACAGTCTAAATAGGAAAGTAAACCTTTATCAATAATGA